CACTGGGCTCGGGGGTCGGGCTCGGGGGGGGGGGGGGTCAGGTGCATCATCATCATCTCGTCGCCTCTCTTCGTGGGGATGAAGTGGGGGGAAATTTTCTTTTGTTTCTTGGCTCGTTCCCATAACGGCTCGTGGATGCTGCAGGGGATCGGGAACAGGAACATTTCGTCGGGTCAGTATGCCGGGAAATGGGTTCACGCGGCTCGCTTTTCTTGCTTTCTTTCGTTCCGCAATTAATCAGCTCGCTTGGAGGTGATTCATTTTAGTCGGTGGAGGTGGGAGTTTTCAAACCGATTCATTCATTCAAATAAAACCTGATTTTTGTGGCATTGTTCACTTGTAGATACAATCACGTGACCCGATTCGAAGGCGACTCAATATGTGGTTTGGTCATTTAAATCACAAATCATATGCTAAAAAACTAGGAACAAACATGGAGTGGGAAGACCATATTCGTCACGAAGGAAACACAGTCTGATCAAAGTAAAAAGCGATTCGAACATCAATCATGCAAGCTGAACGCTTCAGCTATTAGGAACTCGGTGCTTTGTATCGCGTGCTTCTTTTTTTCATGGGACATCGGGAAGGGAAACTTTCCATTAGCCTCATAAGGCACGGCGTGATTAAAATTTCAAATCGATACGGATCGTGATTCATTATCGTTAAAGAGAAATAACTGCTTTCCGATGAGCCCACCCGCGAGCCATGCCAGAAAGGAAATGCAGCGGTTATTTAAACGTCCACGTTGCTAATAGTAACCTTGCCGAGCGAAACCGTAAAATCGAACACGGTCACCATCTAAAGAAAAACTAAAAGATACGAAAGCAGGAAAAAGGGGGGGGGGGGATTCTATGGAACAGATGGGGATTGAACCTGGAAATCCTGGGACGATCCAGCGGCGGTGCGAGTCCCCAGATCCATCTGCGAGGCCGAGAACTGTCGATTCGGAAGCGACGGCAACGTGTTCCGGGACCGGACCGGCCTCCCTCCCTGCTCCTTCCCTCCCTCCCCGTTCCCATCGCCTTCACCGGGCCGCGTCCCCTGGACGAGGGACTGGGAGGTGAAGGAATAGGCCTTGGCGCTGAACTCGAGGAGGAGGTTGGAGGCACAAGCGACGCCCTTGCGACCCAGGTCGAGCATCGCCCGGGTCCCCTGTCTCTGGGCGTTCTGCACGTACTCGTCGATCTCGCCCGACTTTTCCTGGAGGAAAGGGTGGACGAAGCGGCGGTACAGGAAGCTGGAGCCCCGGGTCGCGGGGGAGATGAACCAGATGATCAGGAGGATCTTGATCTCTTCGTAGAGGGGGAACCAGAAGGACAGGAAGATGTCCGCCAGGGTCTCGGCACACGTGAACAGGGCCAGCACGATCCAGTACATCATCCACTTCACGTATTCCCGCGTGTTTCGACTCTGGATGGCCTTGTAGGAGGCGTAGGCGGGGTAGAGGTGACCCAGGACGAGGATCACCACCCGGGTGATCGTCGCAGGCACCATGGTGGGGTCGCGAACACAACCGCGGTTATCACAGATGCGCGAGTCTTTTTTCTCGTTCGATTCGAGGTCGTCCCTCGAGTCGTCAATTCATGTCGACTGGGTTCGGCCGAGAATCTGAAAAACGAGAGGAAACGAGGGGAACGTTTCGTCGATTGCACGGTCGGGGATGGGGGCTGGATCGAAGCCGGCACGTAATGGGAAGGTGGGGGGGAAGGTGGGGGGGAAGGTGGGGGAGGGGGGGGGGAGGGAGGAAGGACCTTGGCCGCAGGAATGAAAATCGATCAAAAAAAAGATCGCTTTTCAATGGCACGTAACGCGAGGAGAGAACCGGTCTCCGATCCCTCATTCATTATACCCCCACGCCTGAATCGCTCGACACTGAAGATTCGTGTCTGGGAAGGAGTCATGGCTCGTAAAAGCGGGAATCGTATGCCGCCGGTCCGTGAACTTCTCCGAACCCCGGAGCCCATTGGAAATGCGAGTCACAGCGGGTCCCTCGGCCGTATTTGGAAGCGAGGATCCTTCGTCAAGGTTAGACCTTCGTCCCAGCGGAAAAAGGACTTCCTCGACCCGCGACAAAAGCCGTCTGTTCCGGCTTTCGCGTGAATACGAGCCAACGTCACGGT